CAAAATCACATTAAGAAAATTTCAATAATTTTAAAAAATTGTTATGACATTATTTTTAATTATAATGATCTACAACAATATTTATCTTTACTATTACTTTTTATCACAAGTTGAAAATATGTATTTTGATTATGTTGAAAATAATCATTAAACTTTATATTGATTATTTATATATATATATAAATTATATTAATTATTTACTTAATTTAATTTAATTTTTACATTGAATAGTATTTTAGCCGCACAATGCACGTGCCCTAACTAGTAATAATAAATTATATAAAAGTCAATGTTATTACGGTTGTAATGAAATATTAAATATGTTGATGTAATCGTGTGTATTGATTACTTGTACATTTTGATTTATTTATTGTAGAATGATAAGATATTTACAAAGTTATGTTATCATCTTTTCCTTTTTATTTTTCATTTATGTACACACTTTAGTAATGAAACATTCATTTAACTTATTATTACTATTCTTAACTTCACTTATTATAATGTATTTATAAAAAAAAAAGAAAAACTTTTTTAATAATAATAGTGTGCATTTTGTTTTTTAATAATAATAGTGTGCATTTTGTTTATTATTACTAAATTAGGGTACACAAAAGTAACTTGTGACATTTTTTAAAATTATTTTTGCAACTATTCTTTCCCTTTCTGGTAAGAATAAAAATATAATAATATATACTTAATTTGATTTGTTTATTTTAGCTACGTTATTGCGTACTCAAAATGTGAAAGATATTATTGTTTAAATCATCGATATATATATATATATATATATATATATATATATATATATATATATATATATATATATATATATATATATATATATATATAAACTTAATAAGTGTTAATACAAGTTATGTTCTTGATTTTTGTCCCTTTTTTATATGCTAATAAATATATACATTTTGCTTTAATTGTTGTACATTCATTTGCATTGGACAAAATCACCCTTACACCGTTATAACACCGTTAGTTTTTAATATATCTACCAATCTTACCATACACCTACATCTATCATATCTTTTTCCTATTTTTAATTATCATTTTATTAACATTATCATATAACAATTAATTTAATTATAAATTATATTTTAATTAAATATTTATATGAATGTTAAATTATATATATATATATATATATATATATATATATATATATATATATATATATATATATATATATATTATTTGTGTATCCATATCAATATATCATATATGTGAGTCTTAGCTTAGTATTATTTGTAAATTTTTTTTTTTTTTTTGAAATAGTATTATTTGTAAATTATTATTATATAAAAATATAATTTATTATTATTATTATTTTTGTTTTGATTACTATATTATTCAAAAATATGATAATTCAAAAGTATCATCACTTTAAGAAATTGCAAAACATAATTTTAACTAATTTTTTAAATTTTGTTACTTACAAATATTTTAATATTGGGCATAAGTTTTCGCGCATCGCGCGTACAAAATGCTAGTATATATATATATATATATATATATATATATATATATATATATATATATGTCATATTATAATTATCTTAAGAATATATTGTATTATCTTTGCTTAACTCAAACAATATTTGTTGTAGCATAAATTTTAATTTTATATTCTAAAGCATTATTGTTTCAATTAGAATGTGTATTTATTACCAATTAATCTACTATGTGTGGGATAAAATTTCTCTCTACTTTTAGAATTTAATTGCAAAGGTCTCATTATCTAATCAAACTTAATAGGAAAAAAAAAACAGTCTTTCATAATGGCAGTGTAACCTAGCAAGACTAATAGTTATCATTCTTCCAAAAGGTTGTACCCCAACCCTAAAGACAATTGGTGTCTCAATCATATGCACAAAGAAATCCTATAAATTTGTATGCTATAACTTCATTGCATTACGCTTTAATTAATTACTTTTCAACAACATCAATAAGTATTGATGTGGCTTACCCCTCACATGTACGACCATAGACTTGGTCAGTGCAAACGTCGTACGTCACATAGGCCAAGTAATGAGCAGATCCGACCCGAGTTCATATATAAATTTGTTACTCCCAAGTTCCTCAATGTCACGCCTCGTATACCAAGGTCGGCTTTGGTTTCCCCACCCCACATGATCGGGTTGGGAAAATCAATCATAGTTTTTAGCACAAAGGGATGAACGATATAATATCGTTCACCCGATCGCCTCGAGTCAATGCGAATGTCAAGAATTTTTCCCCATGTGGACTTATCGAAATTGCCCTTATTGAGGCTGGTGCATGTAAGACATGTGGTGCGCATGGGGTCACTCGACATATGTCTCCCCCAAACAGTCAAATCTCTATATAAGGCGCATTTAATGTCTAGATGGGGGACTTTTGGGACTTTGGCATTAGCAATACACTTACGCTCGGGAACTTCTAACCCAATGTCTAGTCACCCCAAGCTTGCATACGTATGTACATTAGCATATTTGCATACACTAGCATATTTACCACATCATTTTGTCATCGTATGTGGAGACTAGCACAAACAAGTTATTCATACGAGCTCTATCGATCCCAAACATGTATCCTTACCTTGATCCAACGAGAATACTTATGATCTCCAGCCCTGAGTCGGATCCTGCGTCAATCTCAAGCTAGCACCGATGGAGGGTGACTCCCCCAGAATCAATCAATGTGATTAGTCCGGGATATGCATTCTCGAACGTCTCAGGCCAAGTCTCGTACTCCTTTCCAGTGGCCCCCCCCCCCCCCCCCCCCCCATTTGCACCGGATACGACGTTCCAATGATGACAGAAAAAAATTGATGGCAAAACTTGCCTCAATTTTATGCTCCGGCCTACCTATACCATCCGATGCTTGCTACCTACCACAACCCGTCTACATGGCGGCACTGACTGGGTCATAGGTTCAGCTGGCAGGGGAACCAGAGATTCACCGAGCATATTCTGAGCGAAGAGCGCTGTCCGACCAAGAATTAAGGCGGAAAATTACAAAATTATGGAAGATGAATAAAGTAAAAATTCAAATTTTATTGGTTGGGTTGTGAAATAAAATTAGTAGGAATTTCAATTATAATATTTGGTATATATAAGAATGGAAATAGAATAAATAAATAATATAATGACAAAAATACCAAGGTATAATAATAACAACAATATTAAATTTTACCATAATAATATAATAAATTATAAATCAGGACTATGTGGTCCAATGGTATCTGGGTTGGACTTCTATTTAGAAGGTTGTGAGTTCGAGCCTCAGTAGAGGCATTATTAGCTCTTTGTGTTTCAGTAGGTTGATAAAGTATATGAACAGATACTACAATCTAATAGAGCTAGTAACATTCAAAAAAAAAATTAAAATTAATTACATTTACAATATTATAATAAAATAAATCAAATTATAACTATAATAATATAATAAATCATAAATTATTTATTACTCTTACAGTCTTACATACAAAATAAAAACATACTTAACATTTATGAGGGATATTTGTTTGAATAACTCATGAAATTAAAAATTTAAAGAGGTCGGAATTCTAGTTTCACCATGTTTATGAAGAGCAAAATTGAATTGTAAACTCTTTGACTAAACTCTTCTTAACCTAGAACGGTCCCATGCATATGTTCGAGAACCCTTCTCGAATGATTCAAGAAACGTTTACTGACGACAAGATGATTATTCCAAGAGCAAGAAGGGTAGTCCACTAGTCGTGCACCAACATGATTAGTTTTCTTTGGAGTGCCCTCACTCACATTTTTTCAAAAAAAAAAATTAAAATTAAAAGGAAAATGGTACAAATATACCATTAAACTATTTGGGGATAACAATTAAGCCATCGAACTCGAATAAGCTTCAAATTGATTCATTAATCTGAAAAAAAAGTGCAATTAACATTTTTAGTAGGTTAACAAGTTTTTGCTGATTACGATGACATGTGTATTTTTATTTTACATTTTTTTTATTATTATCCAATAAGCATTTGATCTTTTAAAAAAAAAATTAGAGTCGAATGCTTAATAGTTATCAGGTGTCAAATGCTTAGTTTTTTTGTTGTTTTTAGTAGGGTCAAATGCTTAAGTAGGATAATAATAATAAAAAAGTAAAAAAATAAAAAATACACCTGACATCCTACCGTCGTTATATTATAGACCGCGGTGCATGTGCACCGCGGGCAAAAACGGTGCCGTTTCTTTAAGTAAATAAACGGCTCGCCGTTAGAGTTAACGGAGTCCGCTTGTTTGGTGTATTAAACACCAACTGACACTATAGTATATCTAAATTGACACTGCAGTTATATCAAAATGATACTGTAGTTATAGTGAAATGAAACTGCAGTGTATATAAAATGAAACTGAATAACATTTCACATATTTGAGTGTATATTGTACAATGAAGCTGTAATTATATCAAAATGATCATGTAGTTGTGTTTTAATGAAACTATAGTGTATATAAAATAAAATTAAATAATATTTTCACATATTTGAGTCTATAAATATCGAATGAAACTATAGTTATATCGAAATGAAACTGTAGTTGTGTTGAACTGAAACTGCAGTGTATACAAAATGACACTGAATAACATAGTTACTTTTTGCAAAAGGGTGCGAAATGGCGGAAACAAACACAGTTTATTTTCATTTAAAAAAAAAAAGACGCGCGGTGCATAATCGACTATGCACCGTGGTGCATAATATAATTTGCCTGACATCCTAATCAACAAAAATTTGTTGTTAACTTGTTAAAAATGCTAATTGTATTTTTTTTTTTTTTTAAGTTCGGATCAATTTAGAGTTTATTCAAGTTCAGTGATTTAATTGTTATTCTCAAATAGTTAAATGACATATTTGTACGTTTTCCAAAATAAAAATTAAAGAGGTTGGAATTCTAATTTCATGAAGGAATTGCAATTTTATGATTTTTTAAAAAGGAAAACAGATTTTCAATGTTATGAAATTTTAATTATTGCATACAGAAAGCAAAAAATAAATTTATAAAAAGAGAATTGAAACTCCGTCGCTCCCTCCTCTTGTGTCTGATCGGCGACCGGTGAACCACTACCGTTGGTCTGTCGGAGAAGCACTGAAGCAGTGAACCACTCACTGTCCACCGCCAAGTCGCCGTCGCCAGTCACGGACTCACTCACTCGGTCAGTCTCCGCCTCTCTGGTTCTCATTATATCATATTAGTAATCCAAATTTTTTTGTCCCCTTTGGGATAAATAGATAAAATCCTTCCTTATCTAAATGCTGAAAATCGAAACTGAATTATTCAATTACTCAATTTCTTCGTGTAGCAACGCAACTGAATTCAAGAATTTTCTACAACATTCAAGCTTCTTACTTGCGGAATTGCACTCAAGTTCTCAGGTATTGTATAAAATTTAAAGCCCCATTACTGGATTTCCCTTTTTCTTTTGTATTTTCTCCCTGAATCTTCTTTTCTGGTTTTAATTTCTATTGTCTTGTATAAAAATTCTTTAATAAAGGTTAAAATTCACCTTTTGGCTCAAAGGATGCATCTTATGAATTGATGCCTACTGACTGAACATCTGCATCTTTCTATTTTGTTAGATATGTATGCACAAGCATTCACAGTATCAATGTACAATCCCACTGCAACAAACTTCTCACCTTTACCTCATTTTCTTGCTCCTTGCACTCAATCAAAAAGTTTGTTGTATTTTTCAAAATCGAAATCTTTGTATTGCAATTTGGTTAAAAGGGTCTCTGAATCACAAAGAAGTTCAAGAAACGGTAATGGTCATGTAGTGGTGAATGTCTGGCGTGAAGGGTCACCAATGGAAAATGATAATGATGATGGGTTTTACATAAGGAGGTGTGTGGAGCTTGCTAGGAAGGCAGTTGGGTGCACAAGTCCTAATCCTATGGTTGGTTGTGTTATTGTTAAGGATGGGAAGATTGTGGGTGAAGGGTTTCACCCTAAGGCTGGTCAACCTCATGCTGAGGTGAGTGGAGTTATGATTTTTTTTCCTCTCTATACCAAATAAAATATGAAAATGGTTTGTTTAGTTTCAGTTGTATTCTGTAATTTCTTTCATTTTGCATTGTGTTGCTTGAAATGAGTTGAAAGTATTTGTTATGAATTATTTGTTGGTTTTGAGTCGCAAATTTCTGTGTTAGATCTTAACCTTCACTTTATTTAGAAGAGTGACATAGATCATAACCTACATTTTTTTTTAGAAGAGTTACGTTGAAAATCAGCTTGTCAAGAGTTGGAATTGAATCTTGAATTCGAAGTTTGAAAGAAGGCTTGTCAATAAGTTGACTTAAAGAATTATTTATTATTATTGTTGTTGTTGTTGTTGTTATATTTGTGATGCAGATAGATGTTATAAAAAAAAATTGTAGGTTTTTGCACTTAGAGATGCCGGGAATATGGCAGAAGATGCAACTGCATATGTGAGCTTAGAACCATGTAACCATTATGGCAGGACTCCACCATGCACCGAGGCACTGATCAAAGCCAAAGTGAAGAAGGTGGTTGTTGGAATGGTAGATCCAAATCCCATTGTGGCTTCTAAGGGGTTGGACAGATTACGGGAAGCAGGAATTGAAGTGACAGTGGGGGTTGAGGAAGCACTTTGCCAGAAGCTTAATGAAGCCTTTGTACATCAAATGCTTACAGGGAGGCCATTTGTTACTTTGAGGTAACCACATATACATTTTTTGTTTTGGGTAACGCCCCATCACTGTTGAGCATATAACCATTAATGTGCAATCCAACTATGAGCTTAGGCTTTTAGTTGAGATGGAGCACATGCTTCAATTTGGTATTAGAGCCAGACCAAAGGTCATGGGTTCGAATCTTTACGTCACCCGATAAGCGACTACGGTTCACCTGACCTCACAGGGGCACCGCCATATGCCCCGGGGCATTATTTTGCATTGTTGTATTAGTATGATAATATACTCAGTTATGGTAATTATCTCCGATCGTATGCAGGTACACCATCTCACTTGATGGCCATCTTTCGAATCAGCTTGGGGAGAAAGTCACGGAATCAGGTGGCTACTACTCGATACTGTTGCAAGAAAATGATGCAGTTATACATTCTTCCACCTCGGTAGCAGAGAATCCTTCGGTTCTTTCATCTAAAGAACCTGGAGCCAATCAACCACTTAACATTTTATTAGCAGCCTCCCCAAATTTGCCAAATAATATCCCCCCTGCCTTAAATGCAGAAGCAACGCCAAAACTGATTATATTCACCGAGAAAGAGACAGCAGCAACAGTAGCACCTGATCCAAACCAAAGAGCAGTGGAGACAGTAGTTCTGGATAGAATGAATTTAACAGCAATCCTCGAACATTGCAAGCGCCAAGGTCTATGTAGTGTGATGCTGGATGTAAGAGGTAACTCTACTGAATTTGACGGGATTCTGAGAGAGGGTTTTGAGCAAAGTTTGTTTCAGAAAGTCGTGGTGGAAGTTTTGCCAGTCTGGGGAGGATCGGATGTGTTCAAGAACTCGGGGCTAAACCTAAAGGTGAAGAATTTGACAACAAGGGTATCTGGCAACAGTGTGCTCCTGGAAGGATATTTCTGATTCAACAAATGGAGAGTGCTACTAAACAGCAGTTTTGATTTGATGCAATTGATCTGCAAAATTACTATGACTGGAGTTGCAATTTTGGCTAAGCGGAGCTTTATTCATGGTTAACTAGTTTCCTCACTAGAAATCATGGCTTCAGAGCAATTCTTATACTCTACACGTTACATGAGTTACACTATTCTTATTATTTACCACAAATTTTAAAATTCCCCCTACTCAGTTTGCCACAAATAAAGCCTAGAAGTAATTTTTCTTTTTAAATACAAGACTTTTGACAAAATTAAGAGTAAATATCATTTGCCAAGCACCTTGTGCTCAGATGACATGCAGTGACCTCTCTCATGTGGGAGGTCATGAGATCGACTCTGTGTGCTTCATTAGGTTGAGAAAGTATGTTTGAACAGATACTACAATGTAATAGACTCAGTAGCATTCAAAAAAAAAAGAGAGGAGTAAATATCATTTTTAGTCTGAGCAAATTACACTTTTGGTCCTATGACTATAGGGGGCGTGTTAATTTCGGTCCATGACTTTTAAAATTAACAATTTAGTTAAAACTAACAATTTAGTCCTTTAACTATGTTTTTTTTAGCAGAATTGGTCCTTCCGGCCAAATCAAAACTTGAACCTTTTTAAATTTTTTATTCAGGAGGGCAAAATGGTCATTTTATCCCCATTTCTTCTTCTTCCTTGCTGCTGGTGGCCAAGCAGAAGTGGTGAGCGGACCTTCATCTTTGCTTCTTGATCTATCATTATCATGCCAAGTAAAAACGTTCTTTTGAACTTCAACCTTTGGGATCTGAACTGGAATTAACTCTGTTACTTCTGTATATGATGTTTCTGCTTCAACTTCATATAATTATTGTTTTTTCGCAGCGGGAAAAATCATTATTGTTGTTGTTGTTTTTTATGATGATGATGTTGTTTGTGTAGGCTGTCATGATAAAGGGAATTTTTGTTCAGTTCACCGGGTGGGGGGATGATCCGACCCGTATCTTAGCAGGGCGACCGGTAAGTCTGCAGCCATGGTGGTGCGGCTTCTCCTCCGCCCTTTTTCACAGATCTGAGCCTCGTTTTTGTTGACAACGAAACCCTAAACCCTAAACCTTATTTTGAATTGTGAGAGAAAGGTATAATCAAAGTACACTGTGTGGTCTTGTGTTGCGCGGATCTCTTTAATCGGATCACGTTTTAGTTTCATGTTCGATCGTGACCCTAGTTCATTGCAGGCGCAGCAAGGAAGAAGAAGAAATGGGGATGAAATGACCATTTTGCCCTCATGAATAAATTTTTTTTAAAAAGTTTAAGTTTTTCCGGCCAATTTCCACCGGTGATTTGGCATGGAGGACCAAATCTGTTAAAAAAAAACATAGTTAAAGGACTAAAATGTTAGTTTTAAAAGTCACGGACCGAAATTAACATGCCCCCTATAGTCATAGGACCAAAAGTGTAATTTGCTCTTTTTAGTCTCTTGATTATAATACATGTATCAATTTTAGTCATTGACTATTAAAATTTTCAAATTAGGTGTATGACTATTCAATTTGTATCACATTTGGTCCTTGACTATTAACATTTTCAAATGAGGTGCATAGCTATTCAATTTGTATCACATTTGGTCTTGCCGTTAAATTTTTCGTCCAAATCACTGGTGTTCGGCTAATTTATTTAAAAATTATTTTAATAAATAAATAAATGAAAAAAAAAAGAAGAGAGAGAGAGAGAGAGAGAGAGTAAACCATAAACCATCTCCATGTAGGTCGAAAGTAAAGTGTTTTTTTTTTTTTTTTTTTGGTAACGAAGAAAACCAGTCATTGCCTCGATGGTGGGCACTAGATAAACCCCACCTTAGGTAAACCAGCCTAGGTTATTAAACTTGGAGTCAAACCAAGAAGGCCAACATGCTGCTCCCACGCTGAAAATCAAACTTCGAATATTATTGTTACCAAGCTAATAACTTTACAACGTGGTTGAGATTGTCCCCTCAAACAAATCGATTTTCTTTATAGGTAGGGTGCTATTTATGCAAATTTCAAGATTTGCAACAAATTTGATGAACATATTACAAAGATCCAATTATTATATTGCAGATTATTGTCCAAAAATACGTTATTTCAAGATAGCAAGGTTAATAACCATTCTCAGTATTCACCGTACACTACAGTCATGATACACATGTAGTGTAATATTTATGTACATTAATGGTCCGTTTGGAAAAGAGGAAAATGACTTCTGGAAAATGAATCATTTTCTTTTCCAGTGTTTGGCTGCAAAATGGAAAACTGGATTTGGTGTTTGGCTCATTTTCTGAAAATGATGTAAAATTGTATAATTAAACATTTTACATAATTAACTATTTTGTTTAAAATATATAAAATTTACAATAATATTATAAATAATAATATTTATTTATAAAATCAAATAATATTATTTATTAAAAAAAATTTAAAAAAAAACAACAAAACAAAACAAAAGACGGAAACCAGAGAGTTTTGTACTCTCTGGTTTCCGTCGTTCTCTCTGGCTTCTGGCCGAAAACCAGAGAAAAGCTCTCTGGTTTCCCGCCGGAAACCAGAGAGCTGGGGAAACCAGTGAATGTTGTTGAAGGATGGTGTTGTTGAATGTTGTTGAAGGAGGAAGGCTGCTGCGTTTGTGTGTGTGTGTTTAGAAGATGGAAAATGACTTCCCCCAAAAAAAGGGGAAGTCATTTTTCGGAAATCAACCCTCACTTTCCATTGACTATCCACCATTTTCCTTTGACCACTTCATTTTCCGCCTACCCAAACACCAGAAACTCGGAAAATGATTTCCAGAAATCATTTTCCGAGTTTCCAAACAGACCCTAAACTCTGTTTTTATAAATATATAAAATGAACATTGTGAACATGCTATAAAAATAACTGAAATTAGATATGACGTACTTGCAATTTAATGTTTATGTACATTAAAGTTTATATTTATAAACATATAAAACAAATATTATGAACATAATACATGATACTTCAGTACATAAATATCAGTAATATACATTTTTTTTATGTCAATGGTGGACCATGGTCCATACTATAATGATCGTAATTTGCATAGTTAAACTTTCGAGAAAATATCATTTTTAGTCCCTCGACTATAATACATGTATCAATTTTAGTCTATAACTATTAAAATTTTCAAATTAGGTGCATGACTATTCAATTTGTATCACATTTGGTCCTTGACTATAACATTTTCAAATTAGGTGCATGACTATTTAATTTGTATCACATTTGGTCCTGTCATTAAATTTTCCGACCAAGTTACCGATGATCGGCTAATTTATTTAATTTTTATTTTTTAAATTAAAAACATAAAAATAAAAAAATAAAAAAATAAAAACAAAACAAGAAAACGCCGACCACCCCCCACCCTCCTCCTTCGTCTCCGTCGAAGTAGGAATGACAATGGGGTGGGGTGGGTGCGGGGGATATATCCCCCGCCACTGCACCCGCATTCCCAACGCACTCCTCGCACCCGCACGGGTAATGAAATTCGTACCCCATACCCGCCCCTGCGGGGACTTTGCGGGTGCAGGTAATACCCAACCGCAACTCTAATTATTAGTAGTACACTTAAATCTAATAAAAAATTTATACTACAATTCTAATTATCACATGTATTTTTTTTTTATAAGTTTGAACATAACTCTAAAATTTAATAAGAGTCAATGAAGCTAGTCCTTTATTGGAACTAAAATTATGTTGGTAGTATAAATTGTATTAAGTGTTTACTCATTATGTTATTTTTGTTGTTTCTATTTAAATTTCATAAACAAAAAACTAAGAAGTTTAATTCATTATGCATTTTTAATTATAAAATATACATAAACTTATATAATAAATGAGTAATAATAATAATATATATAAGTGCGGGTGCGGGGCGGAGATACCTCCCCCACACCCGCACCTGCCCCCATACCCGCGCGAGTATACAAAGTTCTCCCCATACCCGCACCCATTACCTAAACTGTGCGGGTATTTTAAAACCCGTAAAGGCAGGGATGCGGGTAAAATTACCATCCCTACGCCGGAGACAAAGGAGGAGGGGGGGGGGGGGGGGGTGGCTGGCGTTCTCTCCCCCCCCCCCTCCCCCCTCCCTTCCTCCTTCGCCCTCGCTGGAGACGAAGAGAGCTCCTTCTTCCTATGTCTCCCACGGAGATGAAGGAGGAGGGAGGTGGGGTGGCCGTCGTTTTTTATTTTATTTTATTTTTTATTTTTTTAAAGTTTTTGATTTAAAAATTATTAAAATAATTTTTAAAATAAAAATTAAATAAACTATCTGCCTATCTGGTCACCGGTAACTTGGTTGGAAATTTGATCGGAAAATTTAACGACAGGATTAAATGTGATACGAATTAAATAGTCATGTACCTAATATGAAAATGTTAATAGTCAAGGACCAAATGTGATACAAATTGAATAGTCATGCATCAAATTTAAAAATTTTAATAATCAAAGATTAAAATTGATACATGTGTTATAGTCAAGTGACTGAAAAAATGATATTTTCTCTTAAACTTTAACAAACCCAGATTATGGGGTCCAAAATCCCAAAATAAAGAAAGCTTTATTACGAGTTTTTATTTAGTATTTTAAAAAAGAAGATTTTTAGCCGTTCAGTACATATTAGCGGCTACAGAGTCGACCGTTAGCAAAATGAAAAAACACAACTATCCGTTACACTCCCACCCAAAAAGTCAAAACACTCACAATCTCGCTTCCTACTGGCTAACCTCGACTCCCTTCTTCCACTTCGGAGACAAAGTGAATTGCAGGAGCGGTTTAGAGAGAGAGAGAGAGAGAGAAGTCCCACAGTCTCGCCCCCATATCTACTTTGTTTTGATTTGAAGGAGAAAAGAAAATGGTGGCCAGAACCCCACCAAAGCTTCAGCAGAGGAAAATGGCGGTGGCTCCTCTCAACCCCATACTTCTCCGTGAAACTCTAAGCAAGGTATTCCTTCAATTATTGCTGGTCCCCCCCCACTCACTTAATCCTTGATTTATAATCCAATCTGGTTTCCCTTTTTGTTTTCAATCTAATAAAGATTCAATTTTTCTGGTGTTTCTGAGAAATGGGTACCCTGAAAAGAATGCAAATTTGAATTTTTATTGCGATTTGATGTTGTTTTTGGGGTTTTGGTGAAGGTGGACAAGTGTATGGCTAGATTGCAGGAGCTACAGTACACAGTTACAGGAGGGAGCAAGGTCATTTCTGGTGTGACTCTTAGCCCTCGTAGCACAAGAGGCTATTTGAGGACTAGCCTCAGATGTAAACAAGAATCTCTCAGGTACACCAAACCCCCACCATTATATTTTCCTCAAAATTTCTGGGATTTTTTTGTTTTACTTCAACATTTCTAAAGTGGGTGTTTCTAATTTTTTATTTTTTATTTTTTAAATTTTTTTTCAGGATCAAGAATGCTACTTCTAACAGATCTCCTCATGGAAAGTTGCCTGCAACTACAAAAACAGGTATGACATATAGATTGAACAATGTAATGTACCAATCTTTTTGAAACATAATTTTTAGAGTTAAAAGGGCGAAAATTGTTCCATTGACTATGGTGAAATTACTAATTTGATCATCAACTACTTACTACTATCGAGTCTTGTTTAATAAAAACCTTTAACTATGAAAACCCTACTCAATTTAGTCGTCCCATAAATTTCATCCATAAGGGGCAAAATGGTAATTTCACTACTCATATATATGCCTAGAGTATCATTTTTGGATATTTTTTACATAATTGGAGGACTATTTTAAGTAATGAAAAGTGTGAATTTACATCATACTCAAAATACATAGACAGAGACTTCACGGTAAGAAAGAGGTTTTCATAGTTAAGGACTTAACTAGGCAAGAATGATAATCATGATTAAATTGGTAATATTGATATTGCTTATTAACTTTGATTCTTATTATATGAATAAGATAAGAAATGAAGAGATAACCCCACCACAAACCACTAAAATGGTGGACTTGTGTAAAGGATAAAATGTGATTTAGACCATTCTTTATGTGTGTATACCAACATAAAATCATTGCATTGGTTGTACTAAGTTGTCTGAAAAATGTTGATTTTATACAGGAGAGTGGAAGAGAATGTCACTACCAGCAATGTTGTTGGGGGAGACAGTAAATGAGATCCTAGAAGCAAGCCAATTTGCAAGAAAAATAGTGGAAGAAGCAGCCAAAGATGACCCCAAAACTCCCCCCCTCACAATCAGGCAAAAGAAGAAGCCGAGCCCGGAGAACTCTGAGCTTCGGGCTCGAAGGAAGAGGGAGAAACAGGTTAAACTCCTCCAGGCTACTACTCCATCTCTCCAGCGCGCCAAATCGCGAATAAACTTTAAGGTTGTTGTTTCTCCTCCTAATTGTGAGAGGGAAAAGTGCAAGTACATGGCTAATAGGGTCTCTCCAAGGCATAGGCCCTGGGCTAAAAAGACTGTTCTTTTCCCCAACCCTGTGTTCCATTCATCCTCCCCTCCTAAAAGGTCTCCTGTGATTGCAAATGCTCAACCAAAAACGCCACATAAGTTCTTGATCAAGTCCCCCCACCAGCCTTCCAAGTTTCAGGTGAAAATCAGGAGCCCTCCGTTGTCTATTTCTCCCACCAGGGCTTCTCCCGTCGTGTCTAAAAAGTCTCCAAAGATGATGTCTACAGCTGCAAAGCTGAGAAGATCGTTTTCGCCTTCAAGATTGGCAAACAAGCTAGTATCATCATCGCCCTCGAAGGTGAGAACATCATTTTCGCCTTCAAGATTGGCAAACAAGGTAGTATCATCATCGCCCTCGAAGATGATGAGAAGATCATTTTCGCCTTCGAGATTGGCAAACAAGCTTGTTTCACCATTGAAGAGTAGGAAATTAGGTGTACAGAATGATGCTGGTGCAATGAAGATGATGATGAGTGGATTGAAACAACGACAACCACCGGGTTCTTCATTGCCAAAGCAATTCCCAGCTCGGCGATTGTGATTCAATGGATCATTCTTTGTATTTTTCATGTCTATATATTTGATTTTGATTGGTATAAAGGTTGTGTGTGCCTTTTTCTTTGGCCCTATCAGACTTCAATTGTGAGGTGCTTCCTCAATAATTCATGTTTGCTAAATGGAAGGACAATGAAATATATTCTTATATACTGAACTATATTATGTATCTATTGTGTTTATTCTATTATTGGTAAGTTTTAAATTGACCTTTTAATGATATAATAATTAATTCAACTATGATACCTTTTAATGATATAATAGTTCAACTATGATATCTTACACAAAAATTATATAAAAGCCAATGATGTTAAGTTTGTAACATGAATAGAAAATGTGTAGTTATAATTGTTTTGCATTGAATGGTAGACCTTTGTGATTTCTTAAGGAAATGCATAATTTCGTTTCATGAGTGGTAGTAGTTTAACTCAGCCATCCAATTTCAACAAAATTACAACACAACAAAGTACAAACTATTACGGGGCGTTTGGTTGGGAGTAAGGAATTAGGGTGGAAAGGAATTGCAATTCGGTGGGAAAAGAATAAGGTGAGAATAAAGTAGGAATTCAAATTACATTGTTTGGTAGGGATGAATAGAATTATTGGGTAGGGAATGAAAGAAGTGATATAAAGACTAAAATGTCCTTGTGTAATAATAATAGTAGTAATAACTAAGGGTACTTTTGTCATTTCATGTCTTTTTCCTTTTCCCACAACCACCGAATTGCAATTCATAGGGGGGTGCCCATGAATTGTAATTCAGCAAAAGGAGGGAATTACAATTCCGTGGAATTGCAATTCCCTCCAACCAAACGACGTAATTGTGGCTTCCACTGAATTGCAATTCAACTACAGCCAAATTACGCCCAACCAAACAGGAGAATGGATTTTTTTTCCCTCTTTTATTTGTGCTGCTTTGTATTCAGATTTGAATTAATGATATCTCCATTAGGAATAATGGTCAAATATGCCATTGAACTGCACACGATAATGCAATTAGGTCACTGAACTTAAAAATCCAACAATTGGGTGCCTAAACTAACCAATTTCAAATAATTCTTCTAATTTGAAAGTTTCCAACAGGTCAACAAGTCATCTTCCAAATTAATATTTTTTTAAAAATAAAGTTTAAAAATTAATTATTTAAATTAAAAAAAAAAAACAGAATCCGGCAAGAAACCTTCTTCGTCTCCAGCCGGTTTCTTCGTCTCCGGCCGGGTTTTTTTTTTTAAAAAAAAAAATTTAAATAATTAATTTTTAAACTTTTTTTTTTAAAAAAATAATTAATTTGGGAGGATAACCGGTTGACTTGTTGGAAACCTACAAATTAGAAGAATTGTTTGAAAATAGTTAGTTTAGGGATCCAATTGTTGGTTTTTTAGGTTCAGTGGCCTAATTGCATTATCATGTGCAGTTCGATGACCTATTTGACCTTATTCCTTTCTTCTTCTTCTTTTTTTTTTTTTTTTTTTTTTTTTTTTTAAAGAGAAAATGGTTAAGCTTCCGAACTTTACTCAAAAAAATAATTAGACTCTTAAACTTTCAAAAGTTACAACTAAATCCATAAACATGTTATTTGGAAGCATTGGAGTCTATAAATCGATTGGTAGGGTTCCGACGGCCCTTTCAACATTTTTCGACCACAATCACTGGCAACCGGACAGTCCCCAGTCGCGTTTGGAGTAGGCAACCAAATTGGTCACCTTCTTCGGCAATTGGAGAAGACAACCAACTAGAGAAGGCAATTGGAGAAGGAAAAGTTGCCTTCTCCAGTAGCCGGAGAAGGCATACTAGTTGGCCTCCTCCTCCAAATGCGTGGCGACTGTACGGTTGCCGATCGTCGGTGATTAATGCCATAGGAAAGGTCGTCGGTGATTAATGCCAGTTACTAATCGGTTTTTGGGCTTCAATGCTTCAAAATAACATGTTTATGAGTTTAATTGCAATTTTTTAAAATTTAAGGGCCAATAATTTTTTGGGAAAATAGTCAAATAGACCCCTAAAGTATACACCAAAAGTCAATTTGGCACCTAAACTTTAGTCAATGAAGCCCAACTTTAGTCAATTTGGCACCGAAACGGAGGGCCGGTCGCTGGATTTTTCGCTGGAATTGATATGACACTATGACCTATAATAACATGTCATTTATCTGTTCTTGGGTTTCATTGACTCAATTTGACATGTTTGAGAGTTTAATTATACTTATTTAAAGTTTAGGTGCTTAATTGACTTTTGGTGTATAATTTAGGGGCCCATTTGACCATTTTCCCTTGATTTTTTGAGTAAAGTTCAGGAACTTATTCGACTTTATTATTATTATTATTATTATTATTTTATTTTATAAATGGTGAAGTTATTCATTTTAGCCCTACCCACTCTTTTTCTCAGTTTGATTTATTGATGAAAAGCTTACTGGAATTCTCCTTTAATCGTTAACAAAGAGAGCACTGTAATCTACGAGCTTTCAAATTGTACCATGAAACCATTTTTTCTCGCTCTGTGAGTCTCTCCTCTCTTAATGCCAAATAACTTCTTGATTCCATTGATGTTTAATTTGTCTCTTTAACTGCGATAGTAAAATTTCTACTTTAGTAATTGTTTTGAAATTTGAGTGTTATATCACAAGCAACAGGAAGTTGGTTTAGTTTATATTTCAACATACCTACTAATAGTAGGAGGTAGTTGTCAATTCTTTGGCAGTGTATTTTGTCTTTGCCCCCATTGTGATAAGCATATACCATTAGACCACATTTAAAATAGTTTGCAATATGTGTATTTGCTGGAGTGAAGCTTTTTTAATAGCTTAGCTGATTGCGTTAGTGAATTTGACTAGTTGATAATATTTGTTATTGTAGAAAAGTTTTTGGTAAATTAATTGTTAACTGATAACATGTAAAATGACTTTCTCAAAAATTTGATCGAACAATTTTTTGAATTTTAGCATTTTGGAGCAATAAGCTGTTACAAAACTAATTAATCGAATACTCATATTAATATTTTAACACAGTCAAACAACTAATAGTAATCAAATAAGTTAAAATTAGCTGATAAATTTACCAAACAAGACCAATATATTTTATAATCCTTTGATTTATGAATTTGTCAATTTCTACTTAGTAATTGTGGAAAGAGTTTATTACCAAAATGGTCACTCGACTATTGTAAAATTACCAATTTGGTACTCAAAAATTTTTCTTACCCAATTAAGTCCTCCGACTTTTAAAATGTTAACTATTTTGATCCTCCGTTAAAATTCCATCCACAAGCTATTAAATTTAAGGACAAAAAGATAATTTCACACATTTTATTTATTAAAGCCTTTCTTCTTCGTCTTTCCACTTCTTTACCGTAAACCTCCTGAGAATCCTTCGAATGGTCATCGAACGGGAACATATTGCAGTAAAGGCCTCGATCTTGGTAATTAAGTATAGTTGAACTTCGTGAACAAAAGCTTGCCAACACTGGTGATGAAGAATCCGGTGAACTCTGTTGAACTCCGGCGTAAAAGGGGATGAAGAATCCGGCGGCCTCCTCCGGATCAATGGTTCTGCACTGGTGATTCAACATTCGCTCGTGGTAAATCAGCTCCGTGTAGTACATATCCGTCCAGTACCAAACCAGGAGGAGATTCTCGGGAATCACGCTCTCCAACCCTTTCGCCAGCAGCCCAAATTCGCCATTAGCGACCACCTTGCATCCGGTTGCCTTCCAAGGTTCCAGCTCGTTGCAATTCTCTACGAGCTCGTAGTTGACATCCGCGGAGTCTCATAGACGTAGACCTTGCCGGAGCTGCAGTCGTGGCGGTGGGGCGGTGGCCGGAGGCGGACTTGGCTTGAGCTCTTCACCCAAGTGCTGCTTCTCTTCCTCTTCCCATCCAGGGAGGCCTCTTGGTACCTCACCTTTCCACTGAAATATCTCAGACAGCTCTCCCACTTCCCCTACCAGGGCAAGAAGACCATGCAGATGCACATGGAGATTGCTCAGCGCGCCCCCACTATTAACACTTGTTGATTCAGGAAGAACCCATAATTTCATTGATAAAAAAACCGCCCAACTCCTAAATATGCCTATTCGAAAATGTTCTAGGATGCGAGTTACAGTTGCCAACAGAGAAATTATTCTAGGAATGGCCTGGGTGTCTATGAAGGTGTATAACTACAGAAAGGGTCTCTCAGTTTTGGAGTTAGTTTTCGCGTAATTCCCCTAGATGGGTATGGGGATGGTTATTGGGGTTAAATGGTTGCAAACTTTTGGATCAATAATTTGGGACTTTATGCATGGCTTTTATAATGAGTTTTAGTTTCAATGGATGATGGGTGATGTTGCATGGGGAGAAAAGTCCAAGAAGGAATTTGTTACTGGCGATAGATTCAGACTCTAATGAGTATCACCTCGGACCTGGACAAAATCCTTGCAGACTTTGGCGACTTTTTCAGAAACTTACTGCTGGAGATTTCTTGGGCTATGGAACTGGTCCCAGTTTCTTTCCCTCGCGAAATCCACCATTTTTCTTCTGCAACTCACGATCTTCCAGTGTCACCCGTCGGAGGCTCCGTTCATCCCTCTTTACTCTTGCACCTTCTCCTTCCGGCCTCCTCCGTGTGTCGTCGGCGGCGACGCGTCTGAGTTGAGACTGCCCGATCTCTTTTTCTTTTTGCTTGATTTTGGGTAATATTTTCCGTTCATTAATCATTTAAGTTAATTAATTGAAAATGAATCTTCTCATGTGAAATACCATCAATACCCTCCAATTTAACAGACTTCTAACACCTAATCTAACACAGGACCAAAATGGTTAGCATTTTCAAAGTCGGAGGACTTAATTAGATAAGAAAAATTGTTGAGGACTAAATTGGTAATTTCGCAATAGTCGAGGGACTATTTCAATAATAAACTCTTGTGGAAATGATAATTTTATGCCTTAATATATGCAAATCAAAATTGTGATACAAGAACATTTCGATTTTTTTTTTTTTAATACAAAGTAGATTGACCCGTTATATTTTTTTTGACAAAATTCATAATTTAAGATTGAAATTCCTTTGTATTTAATGAAATTTAAACTGTTTTGTTGATAGAAAACCAAATATGGTATATGTTCTAAAGAAAAAGATGACTAAAAGTAAATTGTCACATATAAATATAGGACCAAAAATGAAATTAACTCTTTTCAATGTTTACCCTCATCCTATCTTTTTAGTTTTTCCTTAACACCGTTAAATCTAATGGTTAATTTATAATTAATTGCAATTAAAACTATGTTAATGTAATTGGTTGCATTGATAACTTATACATTTAGCTTTCTTTCTTGTACATTTACAAATACCTTCTAGTTTTATCATTTTCTTCTTAGTTTTGCCTACACCATTTCAATTCTAAGAATTTGTTATTCTAAGAACAAAGCGTAAGTATAATCAATATTTAAGGACGAATTCTACAATTACTCTAAGTTTTAGAGACGAAAACTGTAACTTCTTCCCATATAAGAATGAAGACAGCTAGTCTCAACATTGGAGAATGTCGTTTTTCAATTCTCCAAAATTACATAAAAAGTGAAAGATTACTGACGAAACTAAAATTGAAAAAATAAATTTAGTAAACAAATTCTCCATTCTCCATTTTTCATTTTCCCACTCCTCCACTACTCTATTTTTCCAAAAATATCCTCCATTTTTTCAATTTGATAAGCGACCCCCTAACCTTTGATAAGGTGTACAAGTAGGGTAAAATTCTACTCCAATGAAGTTGGTGATCTTTGTTTCAAAAAAAAAAATAAAATAATACTCATTTTAGTTAAGGGTTGCACCTAAACAACAGTATATTTAAGTATGTCAACCGGAACTCTGTAGTATATTTTAGTTAAGGGTTGCACCTAAACAACAGTATATTTAAGTATGTCAACCGGAGAAAAGGTATAGAAATCAAATCTGAATCAACCCATTAAATAAAGAGGGAGGGAGTGTAAAAAGTAAAATTACATTTCCAGGACAATCTTACATCAGTTTGGAATGTATTTAGCGCAGAGAGAATGTTTGCTGGTACAAAAATGGCTTGCAAATTTCATCAGTAGGAGGAGTTTACCTAGAGGCGCTGCATCCCGTATGAGTGATTGAGCGGCAGGCAGGTATACTAAAGTCTGGCTCGCTCGTTCCTTGCATAGTTTAAATCCCGTATGGACATATGAGCTTAGGTAATAGACTTCCCCGCCCATTCTCGTTCTCGGCGCTTCTGCTTCGCTTGCATTTTATTGAACTTCTCTTTACCTTTCTCCCAAAGAGGGTCATGCACCACATAGTCATTAGGGTCATTGCTACGAGACATATTGTTCTGCAATACAGTTCAGAATAGAAGAATAATATCATCATCATTGCTAAAAATCAGCCTAATATAAGCTTGAAACTTTTTATACTATTAGGTAGTAAATAAAGCAAACACATTTTCATGTTACATACATATATGATACACAAGAAGATATAGATCCATTGGATATAAAAGGAACATGTGAGAGATCAGAGAGAGATTTTTCAACCTTTGCAGGCTCAGGAGTAAATTTTAGCTTGACAGACGCCCAATCAGATAAATCCTCGCTCTTTCCTCCTTCATTTTCACCATTGGGCTTTTTAGACATTGATGCCTTAAACTTTTCCAACTTTGCTAATACCTACCAATCAGATGTAAAATCACGAATAAATAGAAATACATATGAAGAGTCAAAAAACACCTTGAGGATTGAAAAACAAAAACTGATTATTGACTTTATAATTCCATTAAGATTATCACAGATTTAATGTTGAAAATATTTTGTTTCCACCTGCAGATAGGTGTCATTTTTTTGGAACACCACACCCCAATCCCTTTGTTCCCTTTATTTTGAACACAACAGTAGAGAATGAGCAGCATAGCAAGTTTATGAAAGAAGAATCTATAACATACTTCATCTTCTTGTCCATGACGTCTGCGCTTCTTTTGTTTCAACAGTTGTCTTTCTCTTTCAGCTCCGGTCAGTAATTGCAAGTCTGCATCTGCTGTAGCCATGCGTTCAGCCTTTGAATCAGACCCAATTCCTTTCTTCTTTATAAATAATCTTTCAACTTTTGGTTGCCCATCACTTTCTTCAGCAGACCTGGGTATACATTTGGGAATAGTCAAAGGATGGAAGCTTTTTTAGAGGTTAAAAGTAGTAAAGAAAGAAAATTTGACGACGTACCTTGAAGGAATCTTTGCCTTGGAGTTCTCTGAATAATTTTAAGCAGAAATGCAAATTTTAGAGTTAGACATCACTATAATTGATAGCATATTTTCATAATACAGATTATATGACTAAGAACCCACAATTAAAGGAAAAATAATATGCTTTCTCTGCACATGTGTGTATACATATCCATATATGAATTCTCAAGAGATCTAACCATTAGAAGACTTTAGCTTTGTCGGCATGTCTCCTAGTTCCTTTCGCTTTTCCAGTATCTGCCTACGCATTCGTGCATCAAAGTTGGCATCATCATCGTCATCATCACTTTCAATACGGGATTCAGGAGATCTTGCTTCTGATTCTCTTGATACCTCATCCTTTTTTGACCGTAATGCTTCTTTGACACTTTGGACATCCCTTGCTGTTTTTTTCTCAGATAACTTCTGCATCGATAGGTTGCTTTTAAATACATGTGACATATAATTAGGTGCTTATTATCATAATAAGATGTGATATTTCCACCTCAAACTGGTTAAACCTAGACTTATTAGCATAATAAGATGAGATGTATAACAGTGCATAAGTCATTACCAAAGCTTCATCAGCGTTTTCTTCCTTGAGCAGGCGAGGATCATCAAGCACATCATGACTGCTTCTTATCCTCACATTGATGGTAGCCAATTCTTTTTCCTCCTCCTCTGCTTCTTCCCCGAATGAAAGCAAATTCAAGTTTCTGTAATACAGAACCAGACTTATAACTTCAGTTATATCATTATACCAAAAAATACAAAAATTTTAACAAATAAATCATATTTCCAAATGGTCCAAACACGAGTTAGGCAAGGAACTTACTTTTTAGGTTTCTGGTTTTTATCCTTTTTGTCAGTGTCAGCTGAAGAGGCTAAAGCCCTTGTAGTTGTTACCCTTGGAACAATATCATCAAATGGATTCCACAATACCTAACCAATTATACAAAGAAAATGAAAAAACTTTAATATAGTCCATTGGATATTATTCCTAACAAAAATTGCAATGCTTTTTAAGATTCTACATTGTACAATCTAAAATAGAAGAAGCAAGTTCGCTTGACCAAATAGTATCAATCAAAATACCAGATTCTATGCAGTAGACTTGTGTTCTTCAAGTTCATTATATGCAGAATCTCATGAAGGGCAAAAAGAAAATGAAAATATTACAAACCTCGACAGATAATATTTTAGGGACAGGATCCAGTGGCCTATCATCCTTTTCAGTTTCAACTTCACCTAGGCTTAGAAGATTGTAGATTGAATCACCGGTTACCTACGAAGGAGAGAAACGGAAGCAGGTAATTCCCTAATCAGCAAGAAGACATTTTGTGGACGATAAAAGGTAGTAGCAAATCCAAAACATGTAATTGTTGGACAAGCATACCTTTCCAAAAATCGTGTGCTTCTTGTCAAGAAAATCACATTTGTCTAATGTTACAAAGAACTGACTCCCATTTGTATTGGGTGAACCAGCACCAGCACACGCAACCAGACCCCTGTGTTTGAATCTTAGACGAGAGTGAAACTCATCGGGGAACACACCACCATAAATACTCTCCCCACCTGCATGTAAGCAAGAATCATCTTAATGAATGGATACAAAACAAGTGTGGAACTCTCACATAATGCAGGGTCTGGGTAAGGAATATGTGTACAATACTACAATATTATATTTGCTTTACAAGGTTGTTTCCATGTGAACTATTGGTCAACAGATGCAAAACGAGCTAGCAATGTAATTGAAAAATGGCATACAATTTAGTAATGCTGCATGATGAACTGATCCAACAGTCTTCTCGTTACAGAAAAAATGACATCAAAGGAATTTCAGTGTCCGATGAAAATCATTCTTTGATCTACATAAAGGATAGAGCAAACTCCTATTTAGTGAACCATGTCATTATAACATTAATACTGAGGAGCTGGTTATGCATACAGAAACTACAGGGCCAACAATAAACACGTCAAACCAAATTACTCAAAATGGTTTTGATAATTGATATTACGTTCATTGGTCCAGAAATGAGTATCAGGACACTAAATCAAAATCTTCAGTCATCAAAGTCCCAACAAAAACAGAAGAAAAAGACGCTATACACATAAAAAGAAACACAGGGGCTTTCTAAGGAAACACGCTCTAACCTAAACCCTTAATTCCTGCCATAATTCAGTTGCAAACACATTCATCAAACTCCTCCTCCAAATTTTCACCTTCATTTCTAATTTGCTCAAATTCTCAATCTCCAAATGGACCAAATGCTCATTGAAAACCAATTTTCCTATATGTTATGAGCAGGCCTATTGCCCTGCCTCACATAGGAATTATAACATGTGCAATATAGTCAGAAATTCAAAACAAAACCACGAGTTAATACCCAATTTATTCATTCCTCGACTATAGTGATTTTTCTCGATTTAGTCCTAAGCGACTTTTTGTGCTTAATTAGGTCCTTGACTTTGATGATTTTACTCAATTGAGTCCTCTGTTAAGATACCTTGATAATTTAACCTCTATTAATACCCAATTTAGTCCTTGACTATAGGAGTTTTACCCAAGTCAGTCTTCGAATATAGTGGTTTTACTCAATTGGGAAACCATCGAAATCGAGGACAATGTACAAAAAGTAGTTTAGTACTAAATTGAGAAAAAACCACTACTGTCAAGACTAAATTGGGTATTAAAACTAAACAGAACTACATAATACTAACAAAAACTAAATCAAGCAGCTCAAGAGAAACATACAAAAAAAAAACAAATAACACTGCAAAATCAAGTAAAAATTAGAAATACCAGTGCCAGTGCCGGTTGGGTCACCGCCTTGAATGAGGTAGGACTTGATGATTCGGTGAAAGATGGTATTGTCATAGTAGCCTTCGAGGCAGAGCTGCACGAAGTTCCGGACAGCTTTGGGGGCCTCTTTAGGCCAGAGCTCGATGTCCAGCGGCCCGTAAGTTGTCTTCAGAATCACCTTGCCTTTCGTCGGCGGCTCAAGTACGTACACCGTCGACATTGCATACTCTCCGACACTCCGATGTCACGTCCCACAGTATTGATTCGAGAGAGAATTAATCGACTCACGTCTAGATTGTGATTTCTTAAACTGGTTGCCCTAAAATGATTGTGAAACCAACTGAATTTTTAAGTTTATCGTAACAATTCAGATGACGCCCCCAACATCATGTAAAATTAGGGTTATTAATTTGGTCAAGTTAAGATTATCTCGTAATGCACACTCGCTTCTTCCAAAACTTCTATTACTTGGCATATATATGACAACCCATCTGCCTATCTCTTTAAAATCGCGAACCGGGGCGGCTGATTTATGTTTAGAATTGAAAAAAATAAAATACATTTATTGTTAAATTTAGACTATTTTAAAATAAAAACGGTTCAAAATCGCGAATCGGATTCGGAACGGCCGGTTTACGGTTCAGGATCCAGTTTTTTCGATTCATAATTTTAATAAACTGAAATTCAAATATTGGGTTCTGTATCTGAATCATAATCGAAATTTTTTAATTTGATTGCTATAATGTCCGGTTCAATTCGAATCGAACTATGGTTATCCCTACGTATACGTAATAATTTGTTTGAGAAAAAAATAAATAAAATATTTATTTTAAGGGTAGAAATGTCAATTTAATATATTATGGGGGAAAATCATAACTTTTAAAATAATTGAGAGGAGAAAAAAATTACTATAAGTATATAACTCAGAAAAAAAAAAAAAGGTGTCATTTTCCTAAAAATTTACATTATCTGTATATAATTTTTGATACATGCTTTAATTATTTATATTCATAGACTATCCATAATTGATACGGAGTAATTTACAACAAACCATGCTTGACCCTTTTACCAAAACTATTACATTTTTGTTATTTTTTGCTGTGATAATTTTTAATAAATTGATATTTGAAATTAAAAAATGGAATAAAAAAGAAAAAATATTAACATTACAAAATGGGCATATTAGGTGCCAAAAGTGTGTAAATTTTGTAGGTATGGAAATATTTTCAATTTATAATAGCTATGACATCAACGAATTATAGAGTATTAATTAGAAGAAAAATATGTAAAGAATTATTAACTTGTATAGTTAGGATTCATAGAGTATTAATGCTAGCTGCTAAGAACTATGCAAGATGAGTGTCACTAACAGAAACTTTGGAAGTAAGAAAAAATTCCATGTATTTCAAGGAATGTTACATATGCAGACAAAATAGGTTAAGGCATCATCCAGTAAAGGTATATAGCTGTTAAAATAACAGCAAACAAGCAAGAATCAAGATTCACAGACTGTATATAAGTAACAAGAGAAACAATTACAAGGATCTACATTTGTAAAGATGATATGATCGATTCAAGAGGCCAGAAATGATTTCCTATTATTTCTCATGGCTTTCAACTTCAGAGGACTCCACACCAATTGCTTCTTCTGCAACGCAACGACTGTTGGATGCTTTGGCCTCCATGAACCTACTTGTTGAGAAGGAGGACTTGCCATGAATTTGCTACTGCTGCTTCGTGGAGTTCCCATGAATGTGCTGCCGCTTCTTGGACCAGAAGCAACTGGTGTGGCTTCCACCAACTTCTCTTTCTGTTGTGGTGAGAGCACCCTTGATGTCCGCCACAGTCTTTGCGGGTCCCAAACAAAAGATTGTCTGCCCATGACACGGTCATTCCTTGGGCGAGCAATGGAGCTCTTAACTGGAGTTATCATGCTGGAGGAGGACTCATGGGGCAGGGTTGCAATAGAAGCTCTTCGTTTTGGTTGTTGAACCTGGTGCTGATTTGTAGCCGGCTGAGGGAAGGGTCTAACGATAAGGGAACCTCGCCTTGCTTTCAGTATGGCCTTTGATTTGCCGCCTGCCATTCTAGTAACATTTTCTTTGTCCTCGTGAACAGTTGGTAGGAACGAGCTCCTAGCTTTTGGTGGAGGATGGATAGAGGATGCTGGAGGCGCAAAGTTGGTGATTTTTCGAAGTGGTACTCTCAGTTTCATTGGAACCAGTGGTGGTTTTCTCTCTGTTGTCATCTTTCTGCTATTGTTGACAGGAGGTAAGGCTGAGGACTGACTAGAAACAGCTGCCAAAGCCTTGTTTTCCTGCTTTAGACGCATCTTCCTCTCCTCTGCTAGTTGGTTCTCAAGATCGCGAACCTGTTACAAATGTTGAAATTATAAGCTTGAGCTTGTGAAATCAAAACCGAAAACAGTAATAAGTATCTTATGAGTTCTTACCTTCTCTTGAAGATTCCTGCATATATGTTCTCTGGCAGCAAGCCGCAATTGCAGAGACTGCACGCTGTCTTGCAATTTCTTCGTTTCCTTCTCATCATTCTTCGTTTTCTCCACCTGTTTATTATGTGCAGAGCATTAGTCACGACACTAGAGACTACGCTTGTTCAAATACTGTTTGTTATCTCTGCATACCATTTGTTTGTACTTGTGAAGTTCGGTAAAATCAGCTTGTTTCCGAGCAGGACCATGCTCAACTCCACGGACACGGCTGGCAAAGTTAAGTGAGCAAAGGGTTTCACCCAAGTCAGCTGCATTAGGACTGACTTGGACAAACATGAGGGTCTTGCAATCTCCTCCTGCATTTGTTGTTAACTGAATTAGAGGTAAGAACAGGATAAATAACATTTTCCCATAAGGAAACCACAGATTCAGAAAGTATATTCTGTGCTGGGACAAAAGGATTCTCAAGATGAAATTGTTGATAGCAAACAAACAGTAAAACCTTAGTTAGCAAGAAACTACAAAAGCTTACCTAGAGAGCTCTGCAGTATATGGGTGAGCTTTGAGTTCCTGGTTAAGTCCACAAGAAATCAATATTATACACCGAAAAAAGGAGAAGAAGAATGCACACACGTGCATACAACTTTAATACATGTGAAGGGGGTAGGGGGTTTGGAGAGATACCTGTATGGAACATGAGCAGTCTTTGATGCAAGAGAAGAGATCACATCTCCAAGTGCTGATAAGGACTTGTTTATGAATTGAGATTCCTTCAACCTTTCACCTTCAACTTCAATCCTACCCACCCTCTCGCTTCCTGCCAAGTCTACCAACCAGAGGTGGCTCCTTGTCCTCTGTCCATTTATTAAATTTTCTCCCACTACAGTCACCCGCAACAAGCTGTGAGAGTAGAAAACTGTTGGTATTTATTTGATAAAGTAGAATTTTCTTAGTTGACAACTATAATGCAGCATTATAGATTGGGAGTAAGGAAAGAGGGAAAAAACAAAAGGACAAGCAATGAACTGAATGAAGTCATCAAAATACCAGTGTGAGCGACTACTGAGTTCATTAGCATTAGTTGATCCAACAGATCTAGCTCGGCTTCCAGACTGGAGGAGTTCCCACACCTCATCAGTACCATAGACACGAGCTTCAATGAGTCCTGGAACTTCTTGGGTCCCTTCTGCAGATTGCTTTACCTCCAACCTGAATACAAGATATCCAAATTTCTTAGGATATAGAAGCTCCAGAAATGTTTTAGTTGCATGACACAGTGATTCCTTAAAAGTTAAAATATATAGAAATTTTGAATTCTGGCCAAAAGAACAAATTTGACAGTTTATATGACGAGATAAAATCATAACAGCAAGACTTAGGAGTGCTGAAACTTACTTCTTAGCTGGTTGGCTGAAGTTGTCAACAAGAAGGTCCCTTATCTTTTCATTGTAAACCTCTAACATGCTGACAAACAACTCATACTTCATAATGCTGCTCCTCTCACTAGATAAGCTGAACAATTTCTCCAAAGTTCGATAGTTGACTCCTCTATTTTCAGGCGTTCCTTCCATTGTGAATGTCTTGCCAGTTCCAGTTTGCCCATAGGCAAAAATGCAGACATTAAAACCATCCAAAACAGAGGTTACAATAGGCATGGTTTCAACAAAAACAGCCTCTGCATTGCAAAAGTTGAGTAATTATACTAGTATATCATTATAAGATCTTTACAATAAACCTAGAATATGCATACTCAACAAAAGATTTACCTTGACCATCGTCTGGTTTAAAAACATGATCAAACCTAAATTGCTTTCTAGAAGAATCAGAGGAAACAATTTGTATCTCATTTTCCTGAGACATATCAAAGTCAACCACAGATGTTGAGCCATTCGCAACTTCCTCAGAATTTAACGGTCTACATCTACAGAAAACCCGAATGTTGCCTTTCAACTCAATTACTTCATTGTAGAGCCGCTTCCTCTCTGAGCACTCATCAAGATATCTTTTCTTCAAAACAGCACACTCTTCGTCATATTTCGTCCTAAGAAGTTCATGTTGCACACCTAATAACAACCCAAAACAACTACCATAATTAAACCAAAGAAAAACAAAAAGAATAACCAAGGAGAGTAATGCACACTAGAAAAAACCAAGAGATCAGTCTATCAGAAAAGAGACATACTAAGATCCTTAAGAGCGCAGAAAACTTCAGGACAAGGAAAAGAATCTCCAGTGATACCCTTCACTTCATCACTTAAAGCTGCATGTTCTTTTCTCAATTCCTGTGAGGAAAATAAGAGCAGAATATTAAAAGGAAAAACTCAAGGAAACTATGCCAAATTTCATTTCTCTCAACAGAAGAATTCAACCATGAAGTCAAAATGCTTACATGTACTTTAGTGGACAGGTCTTCAATTTTCTGAAAAATAGGAAGAGTTTGTTCTTGGTATGAAATTTCTGGGGTGTCACTTGAAACAATACTCTCATCCCCCAAATCAGTGCTCACTTCTACTGTTTCTGAATCAATCAATCCCACAAAACAAAGGTCAGTTCTAAGGATCAGGTGAAATTAGAAAAAACATGCTTTTAATATTTTCTGCTGTGCAAAAAGTTCAAATACAGGCATGGTTAACAAAATTTTCTTCCAATTTCATCAAATTTAAGTGAAAATCAGAAATTCCATTTCCTCCAAATAAAATAATTGAGTACCTCTGTTATTTTATTTATTTCAGTTTGCTAAGTTCTAGACTACTGGTTCTCGCAGGACAAATGAGTTACAAAAGACCAACTGGAAAGACGTCAAATTCACACAAAAGATTCCCACTATTTTTTTGAGGGATATTTCGGGAAAAGAATAGTTAGCTAATGAATCCTATTGAAAGGGGGAAAGATCAGTAAAAAAAGATGGTATAAATTGGGAACTCAAGGCAGAAGGAAATCGAACAAGCAGTTCAAATGAAAAAGAACATCTAAAAATTGCATACAAAA